TGGATAGATGGTTGCCTGGATGGATAGAGGGGGGATGGATGGGGGGGGTGGATGGATAGATGGGAGGATGAGTGGATGGATGGATGGATGGATGGATGGATGGATGGATGGATAGACAGTTGCCTGGATGAATGGATGGATGGGTGAATGGATGAACGCATGGGTGGATGGATGGATGTTGGGTGTGTCTCGGTGGATGAAAGGATGGATGGATGGATGGGTGGATGGAGAGATGGATGGATAGATGGATGCATGGATAGGTGGGTGGTTGGGTGGATAGGCAGGCAGATGGGTGGGTGGATGGGCAAATGGGTGGATGGGTGAATGGATGAATAGATAAACAGATGGATGGATGGTTGAATGGTGGATGAATGGGTGGGTGGGTGCCGCAGTATGGCTGGGCACAAAATCACGAGCCACTCAAGCAGGAACAAACTTTATTTTTTGAAACTGCTGCCAATGCCCGGTACGTGCCTGGGAAGATCACACACAGCATTCTCCCCCAAGTTCTCCCAGAACCCCAGATCAAGTTCCTCTCCCGGAATTCCCTCCTACTGCACTTCCCCAACCAATGGGAACTCTCCAGGAGTCCTGCAGCAGGCTGAGGTGAACAGCAGGAGTCCAATATCCATATGAATGTAAATCTTAACATAATCATATCATCTCAATGGCTAGCTGGCATCACCTTTCAACCAAAAATGCCCTGCATCATATTACTTGGCTATGGCTCTTAGCAGGTGGGTGAGTGGATGGATGGATGGATGGATGGGCGGATGGATGTTTGGCTGGATGGGTGGCTGGCTGGCTGGATGAATGGGGGGACTGACAGATTCTCATGCTAAGGCTGGGTTCTTTAGCCTTGGTCCTACTGGTGTACTGGCCCAGATCACTCTCTGTGACGGGCACATCCTGTTCATTGTAGGATGTTGAACAATATTTCTGGTCTTTACCTGCTGCTCACCAATAGCACCACATCCCAAAGTGGGACATCACCAGTGTCTCTGCACTTTGCCAGTTGTCCTCAGGGGAATAGAACTGTCCTTATGGGGGGCCATTAGGTGGTCAGCTTTGGGTGCATGAAGAACAAGATCTCAGCTTCTATAGCTTAGCTCCCACCAGATGCAGCCTCCTCCAAGGTAGAAGGGAAGAGACTAGCACCTGTCATCTGCCAGTCCCTGGGGGAATTCCTTGAGCTCTAGGGGCTGGGTCACTGCCTTTGGGTTTCATATCTATAGTGAGATTCTCAATCAATTTTTGCACATCTGACTGCAAAAGCTCTTAGGTGAAGTGTTTCATTTTCTTGTTGAATTTTTCACCTGAGAAAGCTGGTAGGAAACTCAGGGTGCACACTTCAGGAATGTTGATGGGATATTCAAAGCACACAAGCCCCCTGGGTTGCATGCCCCCCCCAAAATAAGAAAAAGCCAAAAACTTTGCCTTTGTGTGTGACATCGTTCATCTCTTCCTTCAAACGTAATTTTGTTGGGATCCATCTTCCTAAGAAGCCCTGTGATGTAACCACAGAGTTATTGTGACAAGAGGTTCCCATAACCCACTCTAAGAGGAGAATGTCACCACGCAGATGTGCATTTCACCCACAACCCACCCAAGGTCCTGGCTGAGCCCAGACTGCCTCAAGTGGGGTTAGAACCCACCTCATTCCTGTCTGGACAAAAGCTTCTCACGCAGCCTGTGTTTATAATCACTGTTCAACGTCTGTCACTCATCACCTCCCCCCGAAAGTGAAATCAGCAAGGTGTCTGTGTGCCAAAAGTCAAAATTCAAAATCTGGGGTGCCCTTTGTTGCGTTGGCAACAGCTGAGGTGGGGGAGGGCTGTAGGAGGAACTGCCCAGGGTGAGCCTCATCTGTCCTTTGCAAACTCAGAGAGTTGGGCGCCCTAAGACAGGTGCCATGCATCTGAGGGAAGTTCCATGCTGGCCTCTTTTGGAGCCCAGTGTGTTCCCGTCCCTTTCCCAAATGACATTCATCTGATTTGCTCAGGACCCCCAATATCGACCGGCTGGCAGGGGAGGGCGTGAGACTCACCCAGCACCTGGCAGCCGCCATGCTCTGCACCCCAATAAGAGAAGCCTTTCTCACTGGGAGATATGCCCTGTAATCAGATGGGTGACTTGGGGACCGTGGTCAGAAGCTCCGGCCTGCAGCCTGGACCCCATCACCAATCTAGCTGGGTAGCCATCCCCGAGAGACTGGTAAAGGGAAGGCCAATGTGCCCTCCTGTCACCTTCCTGCAGTGTGTGCTCAGAACAGGGTGTCCTATGCCCTCACCCCTCAGCACCCTCAGACCTCGTGGGTGTTAAAACCCACGCACAAAGTCGGGCACAGTGGTGCACACCTCTCATTCCAGCAGTCGGGAGGCTGAGGCAGGTGGATCTCGAGTTCAAATCGAGCCTCAGCCAAAAGGAGGCCCTAAGCAACTCAGTGAGACCCCGAAATGCAAAATAGGGCTGCAGATGGGGCTCAGAGGTTAGGTACCCCTGGTTTAATCAAATGTGAGTCACAGATATCCATGACTCACCTATCATGATATGTCATAATTATTCTGATTTAAAATTTTGGAAAAAGAGAGGAAAGAGAGATAATGAATGACACATAAATCGGGTGTGTTTTCTTGTGTGTCAAAAAAGCCAACAGAGCATTTGCTTTTTACCCGTGTTCCAGTCTGCTAACATTATAACACCTATCTTTAATGTTATATTAATAAAATAGAGTCTGCACCTCCTATGGAAGCAGCCTTAACCATCATGAATTTGTTTCAATAACAGGAGGGTCTTTTTTCTTATGTAAAAATACATCAAATTGAGATCAATGGTCCACTTTCATTTTTATCCATTGAAGCAACTGAAAGCACCTTTCCAGAAGCCCATGTCTCAAATTCCCTCCAAATCATGCAGTCTCCATCCCAGCAGCACTTACAATATCAAGAAATATGCTCTCTGAGAAAAAGAAATCTTTCTTTCCCAAGTCCCTTTTCTCATTTGGTCAACTCACTTTTGGCTGAATGAATTTGTGTTTACCTCAGACTATGAATAAAA